ATTTTTACATATCCTGGGTTAGGTGACACATACACCCTACTATCTGTAGAGATCCTGGGTTAGGTTACACATACACCCCACTATTTGTACATATCCTGGTTAGGTAACACATACACTCACTATCTGTACATATCCTGGGTTAGGTTACACATACACCCCACTATTTGTACATATCCTGGTTAGGTTACACATACACTCACTATCTGTACATATCCTGGGTTAGGTTACACATACACCCCACTATTTGTACATATCCTGGTTAGGTAACACATACACTCACTATCTGTACATATCCTGGCTTAGGTTACACATACACCCAACTATTTGTACATATCCTGGTTAGGTAACACATACACTCACTATCTGTACATATCCTGGTTAGGTTACAAATACACTCACTATCTGTACCCACAATGCGGTTTCATTATCATTGTGTATAGACACATTTCGACTATTATGAATTCTTACTGCTAAACCTATCCCACCTGATATCCCATTTCGGGTGGTTGACCACTCATCTTAAAAGTACAAACACCCCGCTAACTGCAAGTATTTACATTTTATGTACATATCATGCATAAGTATTTATTCCTGCTCTTTCTTCTGCAGGCCATATCATGAACGGTGACATTTGAAGGGTATCACGTTTCACACCCTTGTGACACACATGGGGTATGTGTAACCATTTTACTTAATATGGATTACTCGTCACGATATGGCTGCAATATTGCCGATGTGACGTTAAATGTTAACTCACTCACTCACTAATATGGATTATAAGCCATTTTATCATATCATCTAATAATACTTGGTTGTAAGTAATGTAACAGAAATAATCGTGTTGCTTTGATGATTATGATATATATCATGTTTTAATATGCATATACTATATTATCTGTTGTTTCTTATTACAGAGTGTCTGTCGTGATTATTCATCACCATCGACGTCCCCCTACAACACTGGGGGTGTCAGATTACTGGTCCTGGAAGGGACCTAAAGAGGGGATGGTGTAGGCTTCTGAGTCTACACCATATAATTTGCCCACCACAATGTGAGCTTGTTTGTTCCTTTTTCTTGTTTCTCTCTGCAGAGCATGGAGAACGTCTCTTCCGTACATACTAATCTCCTCTGAGAACTGCTTTAGATATTGTGCGTTTTTTCCGTTCAGTTCTTTTCCTGATTTCAATACCCGCTCAGCTGTGATGTAGCTTTGCAATTATCGACCTTGGTTTTTGCCTTCTCCCCTGCGCAATCCCATGTATTCTTTTAAAGCTGAATGTGCTAGGGTCTATTTTCAGTTCATCCTGATTTCAGTGCTGCTGCGTTGATCTGTCACATACTCTTTCATCTGTAGATTTTCTAACTGAAGATCAGAAAGAGCCTTCGGGGCTCGGGTTGTCCAGCCTTCTAAGTCGCTGCGATTCGCTGTGCAGAGTTGCGTCCCTTGGGCACGCCAGAAACTTATCGTGGGTAATCACGGTTCACCCCGATTACATGTATGTTTCTATGTTTGTCAGGGCCATACCCGTGCTTGTGGGTTTCACCATCATGATAAATGATAAATGTCTGAGACCTGAGTTACTTTGGACACACCAACCTAAATAACCACCTAAAAAATTTAAAAAACACACTACAGGTAACTGCCCACACTGCAAACAACTAGAAACCCCAGAACACGCACTCATCCACTGCACACACTACCTAACACATCGAACCGCATTACAAACCACCCTCAATCTAAACAAGACTGTCACTCTAGAAGCAATACTAAACCCACAAAATAAACTAGAAAACTTCAAGGCCTTAGGCGTATTCTTAATCAAAACGGAACTACCGGTAATAAAACGCATCTAAAAACAAAATAATCTACCAAATCAAAATCACATAAACAAACAAACATCCACCATACCCAGCTCCCTTAGTTCTCCTCCCCAACCCCATCGGCATCTATTCCAAATCTCAAAATTCCCAAATTCGATATAAGCAACCCCTAAAGCCCCCTCTTGGGTTGCTCACACCACTTTCGCCCCTTTAGGAAACACATTAAATGGCCTGGCCGGGCCCATGTGCGAAATACGCATCAGTCGGAAAGCGCACGTTAAATCTCCAAAGTAAGTAAGTAAGTAAGTAAGTCACTTTGGGCTTTCCTCCCACATTAAGCCGACACGCTGTGATATATAACTGGAATACTGTTCCAAGCGACTTCAACTCAGGCATTGGCTACTCACTTGTGTCTGAAGCTTACGTTCACAATGTCTGGACCGCCTCCGTGGTCTAGTGGTCTAGCGGAAGGTCCGGGGTTCGATCCCCGACCGCGTCACACCAAAAGACGTTCAAAGATGGTACTCGTTGCTACCCTGTCTGGCGCTCGGCTAAAACAAGGACTGGTCGGCTCGGAGTCAGTATACTGTGTCTGAGTCGGGTATTTATGTTAAACTGCGGCATGGTATCTCAGTGAGCTAGCACTATAAATCGGCATCAGTCCGGAGTAGTACAAGCAGCCACACAAACACACACACGTACATGCACGTCGCTATATAAGTGCAATAATCTTGGACGCGACGTTAAACCCCATTTCACCTCACCTAAACAATGTCAAATCTTCATCTTGACCTGGGGGCACGGGTCAGTCGTCTGAGGCGCCGCGATTCGCTGTGCAGAGTTGCGTCCCTTGGGCACGCCAGAAACTTATGATTGTAGGTTCGAATCCCAGTTCGCCCCTATTATGTTTCTAGGTTTGTCAGCACGCTACCTTTGCTCGTGGGTTTCACCGAAGTGGTAAACGTCTAGGGCCTGCATCACTTCGGGCTTTCCTCCCACATTAAGCTGACACGCCGCGATAAAAAAATATATATGATATAACTGGATTACTGTTAAAAGCGGCGTTAAACCCAACTCACTCACTCATCTTGACCTAGTGAACATATTACAATGTGAAAAACATTTTGTGGTGAAAGAGTAATTATCAAACAATTCAAGTTGCCCTCAAGGTAAAAGGCAGGGGTTGTTCCTAATGGTGTGGCTAGACTGGAGGTGGATCTGTGTATTATGTAACGGAAGTTTACACTCTACACTCGCCACAACCGGAACAGGAAGTTACCTTGGTTCATACGGATGTTTTTAACATCTGGGTTTTTGGAAAGGGATACTTAAGCTCGTGCGTGCCGCACGAGCGGCAGTCATCGTCTGGCTCCGGGGACAGGCTTGCCGGAATCTGTGCACACGTGCGTTCGGTATGGTAAGATAATTGTATTAGTAGTAGTTTGTTCTTTTTATTTGCCCAGTCACACCATTTTTCTTTCTGTGTAGGTTATCATGTTTGTTATAATGGGATAGATTTAGCACGTAACTTAGTAATATTTTCTGCTGGAAATTGTGTGCCAGTGTTGGTTAGGCTAAAGAAGTTTCAAAACTTTGGACCCGGTGTGTCAGATATGTTCGAGGACTGTGACTAGTGAAAGCGTTTGATGCCTCCGTGTCTATCGTTCGATATTGGTAATACTTCCATTGGTTTGTAACCAGTTTGTGTAGGAATTTGAACCGCCTGTATACTGGTCGATAATACTTCCATTGGTTTGTAAACAGTTTGTGTAGGAATTTGTAACACATGTATACTGGTCGATAATAATTCCATTGGTTTGTAAACAGTTGTCTGAACATGTAACACATGTATACTGGTCGGTAATATTTCCATTGGTTTGGAACCAGTTTGTGTAGGAATATGTAACACATGTATACTGGTCGGTAATACTTCCATTGGTTTGTATTTAGTGGAGTCTGAACTAGAAATTCATGTATATCATTTGCAAATACTTGAAAATGGTAATAAATCATTATGTGGAATAATTTTGTAGTTTGTCCCTTGTTTAGGAATTAAGCCTTACTCTCTCACTCAGAGTGCCACCCAAACTGGGAGAACCTCTTGTTTGAATTTTGTAAGCGTAACAAGAGTTTATGCAAACTCTTGAGGCGGGAATGAGTCTATAAAAGTAAATCGCTTACAATTACATAGACATCTCAATACATATCCCATTGCATATATGTTTTACATTTATTGTATTCTGTCAATAATGTCAGCATCTGTGTATCTTAGTATTATTACCATAAATGAAAGAAGTATGGACCACTAACCCTTGATTCTATTCATTTCTTACTGCATGGCTTGGGTAGGATGATACGCCAGGACAGCCAGGACATGGCTTGGGTAGGCTGATACACCAGGACATGGCTCGGGTAGGCTGATACACCAGGACAGCCAGAACATGGCTCGGGTAGGCTGATACACCAGGACATGGCTCGGGTAGGCTGATACACCAGGACAGCCAGGACATGGCTTGGGTAGGCTGATACACCAGGACATGGCTCGGGTAGGCTGATACACCAGGACATGGCTCGGTCAGGCTGATACACCAGGACATGGCTCGGTCAGGCTGATACACCAGGACAGCCAGAACATGGCTCGGGTAGGCTGATACACCAGGACAGCCAGAACATGGCTCGGGTAGGCTGATACACCAGGACAGCCAGGACATGGCTCGGGTAGGCTGATACACCAGGACATGGCTCGGTCAGGCTGAAACACCAGGACATGGCTCGGTCAGGCTGATACACCAGGACAGCCAGAACATGGCTCGGGTAGGCTGATACACCAGGACAGCCAGAACATGGCTCGGGTAGGCTGATACACCAGGACAGCCAGAACATGGCTTGGGTAGGCTGATACACCAGGACAATTGAGTGAGTGAGTTTGGTTTTACATCGCTTTTAGCAATATTCCTAGTAATACCATGACGGGGAACAGCTGAAATGGGCTTAATTCCTTGAACCCGGGTCTTCAGCGTGTTGTGTGAACGCCTTTAACAACAAGGCTATCCGACTGCCCAACAGTCAGTTAAGGAAGGTGGGGCAGCTAATTGGTTTTGGTCAGTTTCATGTGACAGGGAATACTGTTTGAATGTAAACATTTCTGAAACAAACATTCATTTAAACCATCAACACATTTGGGAAAGAAATTCCTCAGATGAAACATATTTTATTTCGACAATATTACCAATGACCAGACCTGTGAAGATCAGGGGTAGAATAGGTCTTCAGCAACCCTTGCTTACCGTAAAAGGCGACTCTGCTTATCGTAAGAGGCGATTAACAGAATCAGGTCGTCAGGCTCACTGACTTGGTCGATACATGTCTTCGTATCCAAATTGGGTGGATCAATGTTCATGATGTCAATCACTGGATTGTCTGGTTCAGACTGGATATTTATTTTCAGATGAGCTAAAAGGGGTTGATGGGAGTTTGTTTGTTGTTTAACGTCGCACTCAGCATTATTCCAGCTATATGACGGCAGTCTGTAAATAATCGAGTCTGGACCAGACAATCGAGTAATTGACATCATGAGCATCAATCCACACCATTGGGATATAATGACATGTATCAACCAAGTCAGCGAGTCTGACCACCTGATCCCTTTAGTTGCCTCTTATGACACACATATATGCCTTTTATGGCAAGCATGGGTTGATGTGTAGTGATATACATCGCTGATATGCACCAACTACACAGGTGGTATTTGTAACACAAAAGAAGAAGACAATGACACCACACTGCAAGGTCTGTGATGTTACACCTATGGCAAGTCATGTTACATGTTATCTTTCTGAGATTTGTACAAAAATAACATGACAATTATGAAATAACTGAACATTTTTGAGAAATGAAGCTGTAGATGCAGTTATTTTCATAGTCCAATCCAAATTAAGGCCCATCCTTGTTTAACTGTTAGACAATAGTAGATGAAGCTGGACCTAGCTGATGTCTTTGGTGTGAGAGGATTATGGTTTATAGACTGGTGTAACTATGTGAAGTCTTCATTGGTGTGAGAGGGTCGTGGTCTATAGACTGGTGTAACATCATTCCCAGCACTCCCATCCTGTTGGACATTGCCATGCGGATATTACGCTCTTGCTCAAACAGCTCATCGAGGCGAAGCCACTGAAACATGAAATTGTTGTCCACTGAATCATGTCACATCTAAAAAATAGTGCCATGTATTGTAGATTAAAATGGCCATAAACAGCTATAAACTTTTTGTACAAATTCAGATGTCATCACTGATGGAAACAAGCATGTTTTTGCTTCATTGGTCATGCAGTTTCTGTGGGGATTATGTTGACAGGAAATGCAGGGGGGTTGGGGGGGGGGGGGTCATGTGTGCATGCGTGCGTAAGCATGAGCACTTGTCTGGAGAAATACCAATTTTATGGTGCTATCCGACTGAGAACAGCTGTAGTTTTTTACAAGGAGACTCCACTCAGACATATCATATTATTGTTCATATTATTTCTGAGCAGACTCGTCCTTCTTTTACCTCCTTCATGTCGAGCAGCAGACAGGAAAACAACAAGTACCACTTTTAATGTCTTTTGGTATGATACAGGCAGAAATAAAAATTCAGCTCTAAGCTAGTTGCGTACCCAAGTTATTCCAACTACATAATAATTCCTATCTTCCTGTCCTTGTATATACTGTTTACTTATGCTACCATTACTCTCTAAACTGTAGCAAGATTAGCTGGTCATAAGCGGTGACTATGGACTATGTGTCTTGGTTGATTGTGTTTCGACAGCCTGGATCCTTGCTCATAATAACAATCACAAGATTACCTGGACCAGATCTGACAAGCCACTGTCATATTGCTGGTATTTTGCTCTGTACAATGTAAAAAACAACAAACAAAGTGCACTATTTCAAGGCAAGGATTTGTGTTGCAGGGGAGATAACTATTCTTCAAGTTAGTACTTAATGGGGCACTTATCTCTGGCTTCTTCACAGCCATCTAACACTGTCCATTAGGGCTCACAACGTCGACTATGACAATGAAGTCGATTTGCTCGCTAACGCAACTGAGCGTGACAAGAAACTGGGCTACCATCTGTAAGGACAGCGTAAATATATTTTGAGGCAATATCTGTTTTGAACACTGATTGGTTACCCGCGATCTATGAATGGGATGTCGTTATCTGGAAATACCCCTGATGGTTACAGTTTCATAAAAAAAAGTATCCCTGCAGTGAAAGCATTTTAGGATTGCGGATAATAGGATTGCTATCTCTTGTCATCCATGTATAACCCTGCACCTGTTTATTTATTGTCATTCACTTGAAGCTCAGTTAATGAATTTATTACAGGTATAATTAGTGGTAACACCACTCAGATTATCTGACAAAGGTTCCCATTTGGCATTTCTTTTGTCTTGGGTAATTATTTAATCTGAATCCAGGTTTGAAGTGAGGTGAAATGTATGTAATGTAATATGCACATGGCAGCCCAGCAAGAGGAGTGATCAGTTGATTTACTTTTTTTTGTAAATCAACTGATCATTCCTCGCCATCAAAGGATTAACAGAAAATACGCTGATTGATTAATCACTCTTATCTTGCACAGTGGATTTGTCAAAAGTAAGTGTTTACATGTGTAGGTTTACTAAAGCAGATGGAACACCTCCATATCTGGCGTGAAGTGCCAATGTAAAAACAACAGACTTTGTTCAAAGGATTGTTCATTCATATCTAATTCTGTTTTTTTAAAGAACTGTGGACATTATGAAAATAGTTGTTACGTGGGCTTTCTCAGCTGACCTTTGAGACTTGACACCTATGTGAAACACCTGAAACATACTAAGTGAAACACCTGAAACACTAAGTGATCAGTTGAGAAACGAACATGGGTTATAATATCCCGAAACGCTGTATATATTTTAAAATATTTGATTGTTACAGAGACACGTGACATCGAATAAGTTTATTTGTACAGCTGCAGACGTATGGGATATTGTTCCTTTATGTGAATGTTCACGGATACATTCCTCGAACAAGGAAGCTGACAAAATTTATACATATAACTTTGGTAGGTTGTAATTATGATATTTGCATTTTGTTTTCCTTCATTTGCTGTTGCCCTGAATGGAATCATTCTTGTTCCTCTATGTTGTCGTTGGGAAGTTCTTTGATGTGAGACAGATGTTGTTTTGACAAGCCTTTTCATTTGTAGGCGTGTATATGTTAGTCAACGTGCAAAATGTGATTCACTCAGGCAATTTATAAAATGTCTTAGTATTTCAATAATTTACAAATTGACGGAAACATCTGTGCATTTATTTAAGAGATTGACTAACAATTATTAAGAGGTTCAAAAGGGCTTAAAACATCACAATAGACTAATTATGCTGGGATTAGAGACCAAAACTATAGAGATGTACTTTAAATTTCATCTTCTTTTAATCCTCAGTCACTGGGTGATGAAATTAAAGCATAAAAATGTTTGGAATTTGTTAACATAATAACATAAATGGACAGATTTTTCAGTCAATTTGTTAAGTAACTAAATATTTAGGCTCTTAATAAATTGCCTAAGTGAAAATGTTACACATTTTGACTATAAAATAAACACACGATAAAATATGCAATGCTCAGGTGAAAGATTTACTTTGTGTTGCAAGTCAAAATAGTGTAAACAAAAATCGCACAATACCAAGCAAGTGATTTTGAAGATTAAACTGTATTTCGGTTTGTTGATCAATGTGACCATACTCCCTTACACTATCGACAAATGCGCAGCACAGGTCTAGATTTCTGCTATATCATCCGGGTATTCACGGGGAGAAAAACAATAACAAGGGCAACAACCAGTCCCGGGGAATTGCTGTAGATCAGTGCCCCTTTAAAGGTTGAAACAGCTCAGACCTACCTTGGTCCTCCTTCTATTATGTTTCTTGCCTTCAGTGCAATACAAAACTTTATTCCAATAGTTCTTCTTCCTACCTGTCTTAGTCTGTTCATGTCAATCTCTGCTCGCCTTAGTTTCTCCCAGCAGTAGTGTTTGAGACATTTCCTCTTAGGTGCTCGACAGTACTCTCCTGTCTCTTCAAATACATTGGCAACAAGGGCACAACCACACACATCATCTGCCGCTATCTGAAGAGAAACAAGTGTAATGGCGAGAAACACGTACACTTTGGCCTCAAATAACAGTTTTCCAGTTCAACTAACTAATGCTGATTTTAAAGTGCTAGCTCACTGAGATACCATGCCGTAGTTCAACATGAATACGTTACTCAGACACAGTAAACCAACTCCAAGCCGATCAGTCCGTTTAAACCCCTTAATGTTTGCACCAGGCAGGGTAACAACAAGTACCATACCATATACCAGTCTTTTGGTATGACATGGCCTGGGATTGAACCCCCGACTTCCGCTCTCCAGGCAGTCGTGCTACCACAAGACCATGCTGGGGTCTTCCAACTAACATGAATAGCTTTGCTTTGGCTTCTTAGGATATGACTTCAACTTAACACGACTAGACTTACTTTCGCTTCCTTTGTGTGTTCTGGACAGAGGACTTTTAATCGCTTGCAGTAAGTCTTCTGTTGAGCATTGTAGTAGTCACAAAACATGGAACTGCCCTCAATTCGGGTCTTGTAGATGGAACCAAACGAGGTCTGAGCCTCAAACTGTAATCAGACAGAACAACTATTGTAATAAATATCTATTAACAAACCTCACAAGTATAAATAATAAGGGAATATTGAGATCATAAGATTCAAAAATATAAAGGTGACACAAAAAAGGTATATGTCTATATTAAAATGCCACTGGCGGGACATACAAGAAAAATAGCAATATTGTAAATATTTTTTGATTATGTAAAATATTTTGGGTTGGTTTTATTATCTGTGGTGCCAAAACACTGTAGCTCACCTAGATATGTACTCAACACTTTAAAATGTCAGAGAGCCACTTTATAAAAAAAGTTGCAATCAGCATTGCAGCTCAAATAGTTACAAACTTGAAATCAGCAACAAACCTTCCATAATGTTTCTAAATCTAAAAGAATCAATACACAACAGTCAAAGTTACTTTTCACTTCGTTTCAACTGTGCGCCTCATAAACTTTCTCAGGAGAACTGTCAATATCTATTATATTTGATATTTATACACTTATCCTGCATTACAAATATAATGCAGTCTCTCGCAGTTGAACTAATACCTAATCCCAACATAGATCTCTCACCCAAAGAGAACACTTTTGTTTGAGTGAAATAAAGTACCACTGGACAAAATATCATCCATTCCAAACAATCCAAAACATGGAAATACCACCATTCCAAATGGAAATATGACCATTCCAAAATTTGTCAAGGTCATATTTCCAAGCTTGGATTTGTTTGGATATGTTTGGATACAACATGTCATAATCATATCTGTTAAACGTTGTACAACTTTTGACCTTATGTGAGATTAGTAATGACATGTAAGTAAATAATTAAGAGTATTTTGGCACTATTTACCACGAAAAGACCAAATCATGAGCAAATTTAACTAAAAGAATTTCTGTCATTTAAAGTGGCTACTCTTTATATTTAATTTCTTATCTTCCTTGTCTATAATCATATGACATCGACCATGAACTTTGAACAATTAAACAAATATTTTGTTTTCCCATACCGACTTACGGTTGTCGTAGAACAAAGACCGTTTCGAGAATAGAGGGCCTCATTATTATAATTTGAACTAATATACATATGTACATAATAGTACTAGGTATAAATGAATTTTGATAAGTGTTCGTACAAGGATATGAACTTCTAATTATCTCGGAATTATGCGCAACACATAGGGCTGGAAATTTTATAGTTGGTCTGGAACTATCTGACGGTAATTCAAAACAGGGAACAAGATTTCGTCAAATGAATCATTGAGCGAGGAATGCAACGATTTAATTGCTGAAAAAATGAATAAACATATCTGGAACAGAGTAGACTGTTCATTCGGACAATTATATGCTACGTCTATTGCCAATGAAGTTTATCACCCCATGTTATAGCATTTGTTTCATATAAAAGATAGAAGCCAAATAAATGGGACAATTAGTTGTTATGAATTAGCTTTACCTCTGTGACATATTATTTACCTGGATCCTCAGACAGCGCCGACTTCCTGTGTACATGTTCGTACATGGCAATAAATGGTTTGACAGTTGTTTGACGAAATCAGTCAATAATTATTGACACAGTGATGTAATTAAAATTTGTCACTATTCACAACTCCTATTTTGATTTTTCTATTGTTCAGCTGTATTTTCGATCAGTTTTATATATATATAGAAAATCTTCTCTAGTATTTATAAACCAAACCTAAAAACATTATATAAGAACAATTGTGTTTTTAAAACGTAAGTTTTCTATTAAAACAACCATGCAAGTAATATTTCAGCCGTAATATTACTTTAGTTACTCCACAGATTATATGCAAACGCAGCGAATGTAATGCTACTACGTCACAGTTGCCTCAGTAATTAAGGGCTGGGATTTTTTTGTGAAGGCAGTTAGAGCAGACAAATTTCCCCCCTTGCTGTATAATCACGGTCGCTAACCATATATATGTATTTTTCGTGTTTTTGGCTTGATTTGATTGTCCTTTGGTGAAAACTGATGTTCAATTGTGAAAGCAAACCCTTTTCCCATGAACGTTAAAAGACAGGAGACTTTGTTTTTTGTCAGAAATATCAACGATGAAGTCGTTTATATATTCGGAAATCCATAGTATGGTAAATATTTATTAAATGCATGTCCTGTTTTGTATATATGTATATATTATCATGTTAATATGGACAATGGTAAAATTCATTATCACAGTTTAAGTGCTATTCACAAATGTATGTAAATCTGCTTCGTGATGAAAGAAGCATGGCAATAAATGTATGCATCTTATTCTTCATTTGTTCTGTATTCTTTGATGAGAATGAGTTTCGTTAATGATGATCACTCTCACAGATTTTTTGATAAGAGGATAGGACTTTAACTGGAGAATAGTTATGAAAAACATATATAAGTATAGGTGGTCTGTGCACATGTGGTGAAACTGATACCTCATTGATTTGATAATCGGGACTTGGAAATCATAGTCTGTCATTAAATTGATTTTAAAATATATGGTTTTGACTGTAGTACGTCCTGACATGATAATATTATGTTGTAAACAACTTATCTTATCTTATGTTAAGTAAAACAATTATTGATAACTTCCTGAATTCCAATTGTTCATTGAACAGAATTATTCAAAGCTCTGGCGTGAGACAACAATAAATTAGATGTTACCAAAGATTGTCCATTTTATGATCTTAGGCACATGTCGGCTCACTTACATGTGAGCCGTCTAGACGACTGTCTGTTTTATAATTAAATGGCAGCTGCCATCCAGCCGAATACTTAATCTTGATACCTATTATATAATTATTGTCTTGTCGAGTCAAGTGCGGGTCTCTCTCTCACCTTAGGGAGAATGCGACTGTAAAAGCCCCTCGCTAGACAGACAAGTAGTGAATGTTTGAGATAAGTTTATTATTTATTATATATAGTTTAAACTCAATAGATAATTCATAGTCTTTTTATTGTTCAAATACTAATAAAACATATTTTAACTTGTTCCTTCTAAACATACTTCCAAACCATTCCAAGTCATTCCAAACATTTCCTGTGTTGGAAATATGTTTGGAAATGTTGCCAACTCCTTATTTTGGATTTTCCGTAAAGATTGATCTTTCCAAGCTTAGGAAAGGTTGGAATGAGCGATCTTTCCAAAGCAATCCAATGTTCATTCCAAATTGGAATGGACGCTCCTTGGTCTTGTGTACATTCCAAAGAAGGTCCTTATGGAGAGGAAGCATAGCAGGTGTAAACATTACCTATGTAATGCAGGATAAGAATATAAATATCAAATATATTGTGTGTTAATACTAATATAATGCAAATTAATTCCCACAGCAGGATGGTGAGCAAATCTCAAGGGCAAGTTGATCTGTGAACATTGTGATTTGGTACTGTGACCTGTATCCAAGGGTCTTGGCTGTATATAGTGAGACTGCACATCTGTAAGTTGATCTGTCAGATGAATCCCATTGATGTATACCAGTCCAGAAACTTGCTGCACAAATCATTGACTAGGTAATAAATACAATTAAATAATCGTTGACAGTTTATTTCATCTTCTTGCATTAGTCATAATGAACAGAAGAATGAATAAGAAATCTGATCTTTCCTCCATTTCAGAATGTTGAGATCTGATCTGTCCTCCATGTCAGAATGTTGAGATGTGATCTTTCCTCCATGTCAGAATGTTGAGATCTGATCTGTCCTCCATGTCAGGATGTTGAGATCTGATCTGTCCTCCATGTCAGAATGTTGAGATCTGATCTGTCCTCCATGTCAGAATGTTGAGATCTGATCTGTCCTCCATGTCAGAATGTTGAGATCTGATCTGTCCTCCATGTCAGAATGTTGAGATGTGATCTTTCCTCCATGTCAGAATGTTGAGAAGTGATCTTTCCTCCATGTCAGAATGTTGGGATCTGATCTTTCCTCCATGTCAGAATGTTGAGATCTGATCTTTCCTCCATGTCAGAATGTTGAGATCTGATCTGTCCTCCATGTCAGAATGTTGAGATCTGATCTTTCCTCCATGTCAGAATGTTGAGATCTGATCTGTCCTCCTTGTCAGAATGTTGAGATCTGATCTGTCCTCCTTGTCAGAATGTTGAGATCTGATCTGTCCTCCTTGTCAGAATGTTGAGATCTGATCTGTCCTCTATGTCAGAATGTTGAGATCTGATCTGTCCTCTATGTCAGAATGTTGAGATCTGATTGGGTCACATGAACTTGATAACATACTATGTATTCCTGGTGGGGAAGAAATAAATCCCTTACACCCCATCGCAGGGTGCATGTGGATTTCTGAACAGGAGAATAAATCCCTCATATCCCACTACTAGCAAAAAGCAGCATGATGTTTATGAGTCACATGACACAACAATAGTTAGTTCAACAGAACAGCTCTTGTCTATAAATTTTCTATTTTTAAAAAAAAAAATTCAATTCATTTTAAATAACAGATTGAAACATGTCCTGTGCTAAATTTTGTACCAGGAGCCAGACGCATAAAACCCCTGGTTCGCGGTACAAAAACTAACGTGGGACACATAAAACCACATATACCCCTCATGATACAGCAACAAATTATAGTGTGCCTGTGTTATAATACAGAAGAATGCGGGACGATGGTCCAACTTGCCTCGATTGCCACTCTCACAGGTTAACCTAAACATTATCCAAGGTTCGAGGTATAAGACAAGGAGAGTGCCTACCAGAACACTATCTGCGACGTCTTGGGTTGGCAACAACTGTCCTACCACCAGTGGCCCCAAAACTCCTAATTCCTCTACGGACTGGTCTCAGAGACGGTGTCTTTCAAATCGAGTGATGTATTGCCTCAACGCTCAAATTGCACATAGTAGCAATTCCTTGTCAATACTACACCATGACAACACTATCTGCGACGTCTTGGGTTGGCAACAACTGTCCTACCACCAGTGGCCCCAAAACTCCTAATTCCTCTACGGACTGGTCTCGAGACAGTGTCTTTCAAATCGAGTGATGTATTGCCTCAACGCTCAAAT